CGTCTTCCTCATCTAACACCAATTCTACTCAACTTACCCCAAAACTAACATTACAATCAAACTCGCCTTGCCCGAAACCCCAGAAATCGAACCTTTACTCGCTCGTTTTCGTTTAGAAACGAGCGAGTTGTGCGACTCTCATCCCCTTCCTTCTTCGCTCCTCTTGCCATATCCGCGCAGCTCTTTTCCACTAACGTTCTAACATACTAACCTTCGTCTAAATCTGACAATACATTTGGAGTCGTCATCCTTAAAAAACCCGGCCTAAGATCTACTCTCGCCCGATTTCATTGGGAATTGGGCGAGCGACACACTTTTTTACTTTCATTCTTCTCCCTCGTCACCGTCTTCAGCGCACATCTTTTTCGTCATATCTCCTATCTTACTATTCTTTCTTCTCTTCTGGCCTCATTATTGGAATCGCCCGGGGCCAAAACCTCGGGATCATCTTTTACCTCTCTCGATTCCACTAACGAACGAGAGAGTTGTGTCCTTTCCACTGCGCCTCGCCCTATCTCCCCGCCATCTCCAACTTCCCGCTATCTCGGTTTTCCTCCAACCTTAACGCTGGATGTACCTGGCGCACCCTGCGTCCAGGTTCTTTCCCATTTCTCTGCTGCCCGTCACCCGTTGTGCTATTAGCTCGTCGATCCTGTCCTGCGCCTCTCCTGTCGTAGCGTCCTGCCCCCTGCCTACTCTGCCCGGCCTCCACTTTCTTCAACTCGACAACGCCCCGCAACGGTCCGCCCGTCGGTCCTGTCTTAGCGTTCCGCCTCCTGCCTACAGTCAACAGCATTTCGTGGGCAAACTTAGAGCCCGTTACTCTGAGATATGTCGTTGCCCCCCCCCTCCCGAGCAGCATTGAGCAGAGACTACTGATGCTCATTGGGGGAGGGGACCGGAGGGGAGGCACAGTGACTGGCCCATCGGAGAGGCCCGACCATAATGCTACCGGCTGACCACTGACCGGTACCGCACACCTGCTATGGCAGGCATCGCACCTGCTGGCCGGTGCGGCTCCCGCATGTTCCCTTATCGGAGGCTTGGGCCAGAGCGTGGCTGCTACAGGGTTTCCCGCGAATACAACACACCCCTGCGCGACCTCATCGGACCCAAAAAGTAAGTCATATACATTCAGCATTACCGACCCTTCCGCCTCAAGTGCATCTTCGAACTCAACCCTGAGCGCGCCCTATTTTTCAGCCATGGCGTGGTAAAGGACTTCCGCCAGTATCCCGAACACATGGACCCTGCCCCACGAGGTGCGCACTTAAGGTCCTTGACTGCCGTGACGGCCATTAAGCCCGGCGTCATGTCCGGGTCAACGACACGCTGGAGTATAACAAGAAAATAATAGAAGTACGGTGTAAAAAAAAAAAATAAAAAAATTTAAAAAAAATTAAAAAAAATTACTTAAGAAGTGTCACCACCGATCGGACGCCGCTGACGACAAAACGAAGGGCGGATAGCCCTGTCGGGCCCTCGACCCCTCAGCCCCTTCGCGCTACTCTGATATTCCCTCACCGTGACCACTCAATCTCGATCCCTGAGTCTCTCTAATGAAAGTCCGACGCCATAACTGCTAATGTTAGGCCCAAGTCTGGGTTTAGCTTTGACGGATGCCTAAATAAACGGACACAGCGCTACGCGCGGGCCTAGTGAAAACACTTCAAAGCCTCCTCGTTGTCAATGTCGTTCCCCACACATACGCACAAGTCATAAAAAACACACCAATCAACGAGATGTAATCTTTTTAATCCTTATTTAATCAGAAACAAAAATCTGCCTGACAACTACGCCGACTTTCACAATCATTAATAAAAAATAAAAAGATCACACGCGCCTCAAATCTGCGCGCCCACACACTCTCTATTGTAGTCAACCATCCAGCCACCGTAATTCACGGACGCAGCCACGCCTCACGCGGAATACTTAAATTTTAAATCAAACTTATTTTATGTCGCTTACAAAAGCCAGGGCGGATACCCTTGTAAGGGTATTCGCACCGACAACTTACCGGACCGTATTCGCTTCGCCAAATCAGAAAGTTATAAGTCCATTCAAAACTCCAAATGCTGACGAGAAAGGAACCAATCCGATTAGCCGACAGACTCAGGTTTGAGGGCTCCAACAATCCAAGCCCTTACAACCATATGCTGCCAATGTTGTAACCTGGGTCTCCATTGTCCCACACTAGGACGCAGGTGTACTGGACATACGTACTATAGCATAAGTTCCAACGGCCCCTCTCAACTGTCCTCTCTCCTTTTGTCCCAGACAAACGTTGGCTTCTCGTTAAGTGTCCCTAGCCTCTACCCTGCAAGCAGGGCCATAACCAAGGACGCGGGCCCTAACTAAGACCTTCAAAGGCACTCTCTCGCCTTCCTCTCAAAAAAATTTATAGTCAAGCATATGTATATTCATACATCGCACAAATCTCATCATAAACCTTCCTACAGTTTGGTATAGGAAGGCTAGGTCTCCATCCTGGCCCACCATAGCCTAGGTGATCGATCCAGATCGACGACCCATCGCATTTGTTACTTTAGCGGTGCCCTCGCGGGTTGCGCTACGATAGACTTTCTCTTGATAAACATTCAATCAGGACTCCAGAAAGACTCGTTTGACTCGATTCTTATCCCACGCCATCCCTTGGCAGGTAAAACCTTCCTCGGTGGCACCCCTTTAAGTCTTTACCCCCTCCTGCGAGACGTGGGCCCTCCGCCAGGTTGCGCAGGTCAGCAACCAACACTAGGGGGTGCGCCCAAGTGATGTCAGTTTTACCCCTAGCTGGGTCTCTCATAAATGCTCAGGGTTAGCACAAGCGGCTGGACGGTGTGTCGCAACAATACAGACCTACTGCGGGACTACGCAAAGGCCTGTCGCACATAAAAGGCATTTACCAGCCCTCCGTGGGACAACATAGAGGGAACACGACAACCTCTCCACTATCACAAAACAGAATCACTGCCAGGTCCGCAAGGTCGTAGCCTCCTTACTCGATCAAGGCAAGAAGTCCACACACCCCGAAGACATCTCTCATGAAGTTTTTTGCAACCTTTTTAAAATTTTCATGAATGGCCAAGCAAAACGTGGTCCTTCTCGTCAGACTTTCTCATCCACAATCAGCTTACCATGCCATTGAATCTATCTGCCCCTGTTTTCATATGAAGGAGGTCTCTCTCAATAGGTCTCACAGTCACCCCTTCTCTATTTAGGATGGACTTTCACGCGACCTTTGCCTTAAAACATTTTCCCTCTCTGAAGACGAGTCTCCAAATAAGCACAAGACTATCTTCCTCATTTGAAGATGTCTCAACCATAATACAACTCAAACTGAGAGACCAACTTATGGGTCCTCACCACAACTCAAGCAATAAACATTCGGCATGGTAAGCATTTAAGTCTCAAAGACCCATAAAATTCCTTAGGATTCTCACGCTTTTCACAAAAACAAGTTGTACTCCCTCTCCTTATACCCGACCCTATCACCCGCCCGTGGGCAGATCGTACGAGTATACCGAAGAGTAAATAGTTCACATTCACTCGCATTCACAAAATACACAATACATGAGATGTTTCTCATACATCCCTTACACAACACCATCATACATCAGGATAAAACCACACATGTGAGAATGATTGTGATCATCATATACAAATAGTAGTCTCAGAAAAAATCTCAACTCAATGTATACACAGGGGTACAATATCCCAACTCAAAACCCAAACAATCATAATCTTTGAATACAAAGAGTTGAACAATCTCAACTCAAAGTTGCACCAGTATCACACACAAAAATCGCGGCCTCCCTTACCAGAGCTAAAACTGAAACAGTCTTGATTAGGATGTAATCACACCCCTCAAATCAGAGGGACCCAAGTAACCCAAGACATATCCAAATATCCAGGAAAAGTAAGACCAGGAATCATTCCTACACAAGCCTTACAAACTACACTTCTAGGTTAGAGAGTCTACCTCACACACGCTGAGGTCTCCTCCTAAGTCTCTCATGCCTCTCACACATGTACAACCATCTCGACCTGGACCAAAAGTAGGTCTCGTCTCTTCCCCTCTCAACGATAGGTCTAGTGGAATAGACTTTCATTTCGTAACGAGACCCTTAAAACCACTTCTTGCTTTATCCACTGAAGACATTCCAATAACGTGATTTGAGGCAGGCCTAACATACCCCACATATACAGCTGTTCTATTGGGGTTCCTCCCGCGTGCAACTCAGGTTATCTTACCGGACCATTATTACGAAACCCTCTCGGTATATTGTCAGGCTCCCTGATGATTAAAATACGGAATTAAAATCACACCAACGATTAGTCTGCTATCCTAGTTCCACGTTCTCGTATATACAACTGAATCCACTAAAGGTAAAACAAGCCAAAGTGAAACAGGACCATCTTCTGGTTGAATACTTCCCAAACTTAAGAGTTAGGGTTACTCCTCTCTTCACACTATTACACTCTCTCTAACCTCATCCCCTTATCACTTTCTACATCTTTCAGCTATTCTATCCTCCCATCTCATCGCCTTGGCTGCTTTACCTACCCGACTACTATCTGAACCACCGCTTATTATGCCTTTGTCTTCGTTGCATTCCACTTATGATTTCGTTGAGGCCCATCATGTCCTCCAGTGCCTCCTCTGCCGCCATTGCGTCCTCTATTGCTGCGTCCTCTATTGCTGCGTCCTCCATCCCAGCGGCCCCTCCCAGCCTGCAGCCTTTGGCTTCTTTCACTAGCCATGCTTCATGACACTTGTTGTGTCGGCGGCTGCAACGGCCCCATAGGCTGAGGTCGAGCCTGGGCTGCAGGAGACTTAGGTGGTATCACGCTCATTTGTGGACCCAAACAGCTGCCTTGTGCCCATGGCACATATGGATTATACATCGGCCACAAACCCACTTGATTACATGGCGCCCACTGCCCATATAGTTCCCACTCAGCCGACGGAGGCCCCTTTTGTGTTGCTTTGTCCCCCATTTCTTGTGGGGCGGCCGCTACTTGCCGCGAACACTACCCCTTTCCGGTACCTTGACCTCCCTGGGCCAGGTTTCTCGCTTTCCGTTGAGCCTTCGTTAACTTGGGAGGTTCAGGCTCCTCTTTTTCCCCTGTCATCCCCTTTTCTTTGCATCTCCAAGGGGTATGACCAGCCTTTTCACAACAATCACACACCATTTTTGCCAAGTGCTCTCGCCCTCTTTTACCCCTGCGCTCCCTCCTACCTACAGTTGACGACGCTTCCACGTCAGCAGGCCCCCTCTTCGGATCATACGCAACAATAGGCAGGGCTATGCTAGATTCCTGCTCCTCTTTTACCTCAATCAACCTCTCGCCTTCATCTCTCCCTTGAGTACAAGCTCGCCTCCTCGGGATTCCCTTGCGGAGGATTGACTCTCGATCGGCATCCCTTGCCTCCGCTCCATCCTGCCCAGTCGGTCCACTCGACGTACCGTCAAAACCCTTCCTCTTCCCATGCCTGGCCTCTTCTAGTCGCGTCAACCTTTCTCCCAATACCCCAACTTGCCTCTGTATACCACTTACCTCTCCTCGCGTTGACTCAATCTCAGCTAGTTGCACAGGGCTTCCACCAAGTTGGTTCTCTACTCCACTCTCTGGAAACCTTAACTTCAGAGAGGTTTTCAGCTCAACCCATGTCCGTGACCTTAACATAAGAGTATACACTTCCTCACTCAACTCTTCGCAGACAAACAACGGCAACATGCTCCACATCGCCTTTTCGTCCCACATCTTCATGAGACTGAAGCTATGATAGCCGCGTAGGAAGGCATACAAATTCCTTCCCTGAAACAGCAAAGCACGAAGGTCTGTAGGCATCGAGTCCTGTACCGACTCGCACAACAGCACTTTGCTGAGGCACGAGCTCCTCTAGAGCAGGATCTTGGTGAAACCACCTTCTTCGGTCATGATGTTGATACTGGCCTGACACGCATGACAAGCAATCGGCCATCAGGTTATGGCACAAGAAGGCGCAAAACAAACAAGGCTAGTAAAAACTGCTAATACTCAAGCCACACTAACTTTTCTCGCTCACACAATACGACTCTGAACCATAGCTACGCTGGACCGGACCCCGGACACCGGATATCCCGGGGTCCTTCGGAATTTCGGAAGCCCGGAATATTCCGGTTTATCCGGACTGGTCCGGATCCATTGTCCGGATGCCTGTCCGGATGCAGTATATTTTCCGAAAAAATAAAATAAAAAATCAGTATACATGCTCAGAACATAGAAGTTACATTACCTGACTGAACATTGTTCAGTGTGTTGTCACTGCAGCCACACACCTACACACAGATTCAAAGATGCACAACTTGAACTGTGCAGACTGCACAGGGCACAGTGCACATTGCACACGCAACAAATTGAACTTTGGAGTTTGAATTAACTTAACATTGAACTTTGAAGTTTGAACAGAACCGACAACTTCTAGACCGTCGCTGTCCCCTAAGTGATTGCAGAGTCATTCATGATTCACGATTCATGAATGACCACCCAAAAAACGGCAGTCCACTCTCTCTCTCTCTCTCTCTTTCTCTCTCTCTCTCTCTCTCTCTCTCTCTCTCTCTCTCTCTCTCTCTCTCTCTCTCTCTCTCTCTCTCACGAGTCTCTAATGACTCTC